AAATAACAAAAAAGCTTAATTTTGAGGATACAGATGAGTTTTATAAAAAATTGTTAATGCTAATAACAAATAAAAATCTTCATTAAGTCTTACACCACTCAAGATATGACACATGATCCCCATCTATCTCTCTACTCCTTGACCTTTAACCACCAAAATTTAATAGCATCAATCCCCCTAATACACAAACCTCCTTGCAAAATTTCAGAAACATTTAACAAAAGGAGTTATTAAACTTCAAAATGGTTAAGTAAGCTTCACAAAATCGTGTTGAGATGTGTTTAGTTGCATCAAGCCAGGAGTATCTTGTGGATTCATTCACTTCATTGTCTTCTGCTTCTGCAAGTCTTTATGAATTAATAATAATTTTAAATGATTTTTAGCAGCAGTCAAAACTTTCACAACAGCTTCTCTTTTGTCTATATGTAGCCACTCATCAATTTCATTTTCTAAAAACATGCTATTGAATTGTTCTCAGATGCAGCTTGAAAAATTATTTGCATGTTGCTGGTAGCACTTTTTTCATCACAGCAGATTTATCATCATAGGAGAGATTGTCATGATGCATAACAGCAGGTCTAAGTTAAGTTTCTATTATAACTTTTTCAGAGTAGACTCTCAAACACTGTTCATGACAGCAGCATACACTGCACCTTTAATGCTGTATACTGATAGTAATTCAACCAGCTGTTAAATAAAATTCTGGCTCACCTCCTAATCCTTTGGTTGGATCAATAATGTAACTTTTGCTGAGATATATTTTAAAAATAAGCTTACAAGCATGCCAGATTATAATATTAAAGAATTCTAGATTATGAATTTCTACCATATTTATGTAATTTTGAATTTATTAATCAATACATAATCAGGGTTCATGCTGTATAGTGCCAAAATCAGCAAGCAATATTTTTATTAAAGTGTCAATAAAAATATAATACTGGCAATAAATCCCTAGTCCACTTATTTTAACATTCAGCACGAAACTGAATCACAAAGCACACTTCAGAAAAAACAACAGAAAGTCAAGCTTCCACCTATCATGCACCTAGCAATTTCATGACATCAGATGACAAATTCAGGCAGAAAAATAGGAAGTGACATTGAGAACCAAAGGCAGTTTTGTGCAAAGGCACCCAGTGTTTTTGGATTGGGAATTTTTTATTGACTGACAGAAAATTTGGGGAATTGTTTAAACTTTCACTTTGATCTTTTTCAGTAGACTAAAGCAAAAATTTTGACATGACAGAACATGTGAAATACTGTTTAAATATTGTTATCAAATGTGTTATTTGAAATTATTCTTTAAAAAATTATTCAAAATGATTCCTATTGCTAAAAAAGGAGAGAACCAGACATTCAGGTTACAAATTCAAACAAAACTTGGTGAACGTGTAGTCTTGAACACAAACAAGTCCTTGTCCAAATAATACGACTCAAGCATTTCCAAAAACTGGGCCTCCGAAAATTGAGTGTTTAACTTAGTCTTTGAAGCTCAGGAGCCAGAGGAAATCATGTCCAATATTATCAAAGGCTTTGTGGAGGTTTCTATTTGTAGAAAGCCACATGTGTTGTAGCATTGGTTGGCTAGCTCATAGATGATTTGCAAGAGGAAAATATTAGAATGTATGGACTGGCTGCAAGTTTGGTATTCATCAATGATTAGAAGGATGCAGGTCTGCAATCTAGCAGCAGAGACTTTAGTGAGGATCTTGTAAATGATTTTAAGTAGTGAGACGTGTCTCCAGTTTGTAATTTCACTTGTTCTTCCTTATTATTGGTTTTAGGAATGAGGGTAATTATTCCATGATTAAAGTAAGTTTGTTGGTTTTCAGAGCATTGTTGTATATTGTTGTCCTATCAGAGAGAAAAATTGTTTATAAAATTCTATAGGTAGCCCATCTGGGTCCTGGTGATTTCTTATTTGGCATGCTCTTCAGTGCTGCTATGCATTCTGGATATGTGATGTTTCTGTTTAACTCAGTAACCTGTATGTCAAATAGTTTTGGCATTAGGGATTGAAATACCTGTGAATTAGAGGAAGGGTGAGTAATCCTACAGTTTTAGTGCAAACCCTGCAGGATGTATGCGATTTAAAAGTTAAAGATCCAGATAATTTATGTTATGTTACACAAACCACATTAAGCATTGATGAGACGCTTTTCTTTGTCAAAGTTTTATCTTTCAAATGTTTTTGAATAATATAGGCAAACAAATTTTTATTTTTTCCTCGTCTGATATAATTTCATTATTCTCATTTATTATTGCATTGATCATTTTAGAGTGAATGTGCTTCTGTTCCATTTGGTAAAATTCCTGGATGGATGAGCTTCCTGCTCACATAGTTCCTTACAAGATCAGATAAACACTCCATATAGGCATCTCTCATGTTAAATTTTGGCTTTTGCATTTGCTATGACTGTCTGATGTTTATCTGGATCTACAGTTTTATCATTATATACTTGTTTTAACTCATATCCTGTCATTGTAATGTTTACAAAGTTGTTTTTTCCTTTTCTATACTTATATTAATTGCAATGCTTTTAACTTTTCATAGATTACCACCAAGCGCAGTCCTTTTCTTCTTTGACGTTAAAAATTGCTTATTTGAGCCTGTGGAGTTTTACGGGGCTCTTAAAATCCAAAAAAAAATTAATGCCCATTGTAAAATTGTAAATATCTTAGTTAGAAAAAAATGGAGAGATAGAAAATAGATCAGAGGTCATCGGTTGTAGTAACAAGTCAGTGGGAAAGTTGACACACAGGTGTCAAGAATGCACCGTCATCATCAACAAAAGTCGATCACATGTTAGATTTCCCACGACAATGGTATAAAAGGTGCAAGCCACTGGACGCTCAGGAGTTCACACATGGAAGTTATACTTGGTCATAGTGATTCCTTGTCTCCTGTAACGGTAGAAAACATCGACAACACCCAACGCTTCCATAAAGAACTTTTATCACAGCATATAGAACTCCTCCAACTTTAGAGGTAATTTTTCAGCTAACTGCGAACTCTCTCTCGTAACGGAAGTAGGCATAGCCTTCACAGAATAGACAAGCAAGTGTCAAAATCATAGATTTTGGTATATTATGTTAATTGCATTTAACCCTATATAACCTAGAGATACACATTTAACCCTGTGTAGCCTCCTGTATTTTAGTGTTAGCTGTATAATAAATGCTTTGTTATTTTGTTAAACCTGTTTCCTGTATCTGAAAGGATGCCTGCCGACTTCCTCACCTCCCTCGCCACTCGATAAAAAGCCATCCGGAACAACAACGTGAGCGGTCCTTCCAGACTGCTGCTGAATAAGTGGTCAAGAGGGATTAACCCTTTGCCCACGGTTTCTCACACTTAGGGTTGTGTCGGCAACATCTTTCAGTAAGCTAGCTTTTATTTTCCAGAATGTAGTTAAGTTGTTTGCATTTGCTTCTCTGTTTAGCAAGGACAAGTATTAGAATAACATCACTATGGTTTGTTAAATGATCAGAATGATTTCTCATTGTGATGCAACATGTTGGAGATGACTGGAAACGTAGAATCTATCCAACCTGGAATAGGAATTATTTTGGTGATAGGTAACTTCACGTTTATGGGAGTTCATTTTACACCTGATGTCTAAGGTAAAACTGGTCTTTCAGGTTCTGGAAAATTTAACTTTTCCTTTTGTTTCTGGTTTTCCTAGTCTATCTATAGCTTTCTCAACAAAGCTGAAGTCACTACCTCAAAGAATATCATGAGTTGACCCTAAATAAAAATCAAGGTTGTTGATAAAATTGTATCTTGCCTTAGGGCAGTAGACAGAAATAATTCTCTGTATCCCAAGTGAAACTTCCTATCTAGTGATGTAACGAATATTCAGTTACTATTCGTTATTCGGCCTATTTTTCACTATTAGTTGGGTTAGTGTTGTTTGTTTATATTTATTTATAACTTGTAACATGCACAAAATAAAAATGAAAATAATATTAGTCACATGTATTCACAATTTATAATTACAAAGATCAGCACACGTACATGTCTATTCATTCGAGAATCATCGCACATCTGAGGGTCTGTCNAATATTTGGCTATGTCTTGGCTACTTTAATAGTATTTTTACGTGTTTTAGCTGGCAACATGGCTCGACCATGAAAGGGAGCCAGTATTTAAACAAAGCTTAATTTTCTAATTTTTAACAATACAATAGTGACAATTATTATTTTAAAAAAATTTTTGTTAGGCTCAACATTGATGAAAATTCAACGCGAAGTAGGTTAATAGCAATATAATAATATACTAATTACATGAGATATACTAATATACTATACTAATAATGTATTTTTTCATATTTTTCGGTTATCTGTTTTTTCAGTTATCTGACCAACCCCAGTCCCCAATTGAGTTGGATAATCGATGCTCTACTGTACAGTAATACCTCGACTTACGCTACCCCGACTTATGCGAATCCGGAGTTACACAATTTTCAAATCTCGCCGATTCGTCTTTTGTCTGAGCGCCACGCAACTCTTGATTACTCACTCCCCCCACACTATTGTTCAGCTTACATGTTCGGACATGTCGCGCGGAATCGACACATAGCTACGATTTATTTTGTGTTATTTATTTCTATGTTTGTTATATCTACGGAGACTCGAGAGACTCTATGTGGTGATTTCTTGTAACCGTGAACAAATCAAAAGACTAGATAAGATTAACGAGAACATTTATTAGCTTACATACATTCGACTTGGATTTTACACAAATTGTGAAATTATACCCCAACTTACGCGGTCATCGCTCGGTCCCACCTATCGCGTAAGTTCGGGGTATTACTGTATTTAGTAAAAAGGTTAAAAAAAAACAATATTGATGTAATAAAATATTGGATCTTGTATTTCAATAAGATGTTTCTTTTTTATCATATGAAAACATACATTACTTTAAAAGAAAAGGGAATAATTTTCATTTACTAAAATGATAAATTAATTGCAGAATTTACTAACTATAAATATATTTTGTAAGAAATTAACAAAAATGAATAATTACTCTTGGATGAGGTATACCAGTTGACGTATTAAATGCTGGAAGTAATCTCTGTCCTAATTCTTCTGCAATAACTAATAATTCACCATGATACCACTGCATTCGATTAAATTCTTCTTGTAAATAAGTTGCCAATATATGTCCACTCAATAATCCCCTAATTAATGAAAAAACTTTTAATTATAAAGTTATTTATCAGAAAATAGTTTTTCTATGTCAGTGGTTCCCAATTAGTTTGAGCCACTTTAAGAAAGAGCTCAAACTCGTGTACCCCTTATAGCAGAAATTCATATTAAGCTGTACTAATATTATAAATTCGAAGGTAATTATGTCTGTCTGTCACCTTTTCATGTCTAAACCACTGAACAGGTTTTAATAAAATTTGGCACAGAGATAGCTTACATGTTGGAGATGGACATGGGCTACATTTTACTGCGAGAAAATATCTTACTCCCACGAGAAAATTCGATATAATGCGGGCGAAGCTGTGGGTAGACAGCTAGTGATAAATAGAATAAATTTTTTTTTACATTTATTACCTTTAAAATACAATTCTAATAATAATGAAAATAACATAAGGTTATTTAATTTTAATGTGACAAATGTGCACGATTTTCTTTGCACAACTTTGTAAAATCTGGTTGCTTTTTGATCAGCTTTAGTCTCGAGTCATCTTCGAGTTGAAGTCGGTTACGATGTTTAGTTTTCATGTTTGTCATGGCCGAAAATCCGCTCTCGCAGAGGTACGTTGTGCAAAATAGCGGTAAATATTTTATTGCCACTTCACTGACATGATAATAATGATAATTGTACAATTAACACAATTTGTGTTAATTGTACAATTTTTGTTTCTTGCGTAAGAATTTCATTTAGGTATTGTCACAAATGCATTTTTTTAATGAAATTTTGAGATTATTTTTAGTTATAAATAAACGAATTTGTGCATTCAACATCATTTTGTAAATTGCTGAATTTTTCATGGTCCATCCATTATTTTTTTTATTGCTTCATCTCATGCATTTCAATTTTAAATCGACCGATTTTAGATTGCCGCGCGTACCCCTTTACGCAATTTCGCGTACCACTAATTGGGAACCACTGTTCTATGTTATTAAGTCAATAAAATAATAAAGTAGGAGCACTTTGTAATGTTCATAAGTAGTGATGATTTAAGAAAAACAATATTGGTCAAGCATAATCAACTAAAAAAGTGTCAGAGAGAAATCTAAAAAAATTATTCAATTTTTCAACAATTTAATCTTTAAAATTTTTTAAAATTGTATTAAGTCATCATTTCCATATACAAATTCCATTATGGTAAGCAGAACTGGAAAGATATAATAATACATTTTCTTTTACTTGCATTTATCAGACAGATCATCTTGAAAAAAATCTTTGTGAAAACTGGAAATCTTAATTTAAAAAAAATAAAATATTTTACATCTTTTCAAATTTCTAAAATTTTGAACCATTTACTTTAAACTAATTTTTGTTTTATAAATCAACACCAAAAAAATTCAGAATGAAAATCTGAAGTGCTTCAAAATCAAAAATGTTAGCCATCAATATTGCTTAAGTATTAGTTTTTGAAATATCATATAAACATTAATTCTTCAAGTAAATATTTTTAATCACACAACAAATTTAAAAATCATTGCATTTAATCAAATAAGCAGCAGCTAAAGGAAGCAGTTTTACATATACTGTATAAATAAAATCAAGTATAAAAATTTAAGATTAACAAATTATCTATCTTAAAATCGTCTGGTGTAGTAATTATTTTTACAAAATAATTCATTGTTACTGCAAATCAAAGCATTTAAGAAAAAATCAATTTACTTTATAAGAACTCACCCAAGCATTCTTATATTTGTTTCAAATACAGAAACTACTACATCATTGTCAAATGTTATATCCTTTATAATAAGTCTGACAGCATGTTCAAATTCATCCAAATCTCCTAATAACTATAAAAATTTATCAGTTGTATTGGTAATGGAAATTTTTATTTAAATAAATTCTATTTAAAAAGTTTAAAACATATCTTACCACTAAAGTATCTAGAGTATCCACAAGAGTCAAGGAAAAGCTGAAAATATTTAATCAATCAAATATATTCAAAATATTAGATTATACATCTTATGTAAAATATATTATATATAATTTCATTTGTTTTAAAATTCTGATGGTTTTTTTTTAATTGCCTTGCTGTCTCTCAAAACTTAAATATAAAATAAGAGCAAGATTTATAAATAATGGTTAAAATCATTATTTATAAAACTTGCTCTTATTTTATAAACATACTATACAACCTTATCTTCTGGATAAGGATGTATACATGTATACTATAGTAAGTTTAATTCTGTAGTTAGAATGTACAATATTAGTGATTGCATTACTGGTAAACCAGTTATATTTAATATTTGGCTTCAAAAACTTGCATATGTGAAAATAACAATGAAACTATAAATGTTACTATACAGTTGACATCCATATAACACTGTTGATTATTGTGTTTTATATGAATTCCATGTTGTACGAGTCACTTAGATTTTACAAATACGTGAGCCGTTCAGAGCCCAGCACATGTATTTGTAAAATCTAAGTGACTCGTACAACATGGAATTCATATAAAAGGAATTATCAACAGTGTTTGTTATAGAGGAGGTCGACTGTATATGAAACTATGTTTATAGCTTTATTAAAGATAGAAGAGTCAAATGTTTTTATTTAAATCATATAAGTAGTTTGTATTCTTTATCTTGTAAATTACTTTATAGTTCTTTATAATTTTTAAAATATCATTTTACAATATCTAGCTGGACATTCTGGCTTCTTAACAATGAAACAAACTAAGCAGAATAACAATTTTAGTTCGCAAAATGGAATACATATATTTAAATGCGAGTGCTTGCACCAACCACTTTTACTCACAGCAGCAAAAAACTCCATCAATGACATGCGTAACTTTCATGGCAAAAACATTTAAAATTGCATATGGCACCATCTGTTACAAGATTTTATTAAAAACATTTATGTTATTAATTATTATAAAATAACAAAAAAGCTTAATTTTGAGGATACAGATGAGTTTTATAAAAAATTGTTAATGCTAATAACAAATAAAAATCTTCATTAAGTCTTACACCACTCAAGATATGACACATGATCCCCATCTATCTCTCTACTCCTTGACCTTTAACCACCAAAATTTAATAGCATCAATCCCCCTAATACACAAACCTCCTTGCAAAATTTCAGAAACATTTAACAAAAGGAGTTATTAAACTTCAGAATGGTTAAGTAAGCTTCACAAAATCGTGTTGAGATGTGTTTAGTTGCATCAAGCCAGGAGTATCTTGTGGATTCATTCACTTCATTGTCTTCTGCTTCTGCAAGTCTTTATGAATTAATAATAATTTTAAATGATTTTTAGCAGCAGTCAAAACTTTCACAACAGCTTCTCTTTTGTCTATATGTAGCCACTCATCAATTTCATTTTCTAAAAACATGCTATTGAATTGTTCTCAGATGCAGCTTGAAAAATTATTTGCATGTTGCTGGTAGCACTTTTTTCATCACAGCAGATTTATCATCATAGGAGAGATTGTCATGATGCATAACAGCAGGTCTAAGTTAAGTTTCTATTATAACTTTTTCAGAGTAGACTCTCAAACACTGTTCATGACAGCAGCATACACTGCACCTTTAATGCTGTATACTGATAGTAATTCAACCAGCTGTTAAATAAAATTCTGGCTCACCTCCTAATCCTTTGGTTGGATCAATAATGTAACTTTTGCTGAGATATATTTTAAAAATAAGCTTACAAGCATGCCAGATTATAATATTAAAGAATTCTAGATTATGAATTTCTACCATATTTATGTAATTTTGAATTTATTAATCAATACATAATCAGGGTTCATGCTGTATAGTGCCAAAATCAGCAAGCAATATTTTTATTAAAGTGTCAATAAAAATATAATACTGGCAATAAATCCCTAGTCCACTTATTTTAACATTCAGCACGAAACTGAATCACAAAGCACACTTCAGAAAAAACAACAGAAAGTCAAGCTTCCACCTATCATGCACCTAGCAATTTCATGACATCAGATGACAAATTCAGGCAGAAAAATAGGAAGTGACATTGAGAACCAAAGGCAGTTTTGTGCAAAGGCACCCAGTGTTTTTGGATTGGGAATTTTTTATTGACTGACAGAAAATTTGGGGAATTGTTTAAACTTTCACTTTGATCTTTTTCAGTAGACTAAAGCAAAAATTTTGACATGACAGAACATGTGAAATACTGTTTAAATATTGTTATCAAATGTGTTATTTGAAATTATTCTTTAAAAAATTATTCAAAATGATTCCTATTGCTAAAAAAGGAGAGAACCAGACATTCAGGTTACAAATTCAAACAAAACTTGGTGAACGTGTAGTCTTGAACACAAACAAGTCCTTGTCCAAATAATACGACTCAAGCATTTCCAAAAACTGGGCCTCCGAAAATTGAGTGTTTAACTTAGTCTTTGAAGCTCAGGAGCCAGAGGAAATCATGTCCAATATTATCAAAGGCTTTGTGGAGGTTTCTATTTGTAGAAAGCCACATGTGTTGTAGCATTGGTTGGCTAGCTCATAGATGATTTGCAAGAGGAAAATATTAGAATGTATGGACTGGCTGCAAGTTTGGTATTCATCAATGATTAGAAGGATGCAGGTCTGCAATCTAGCAGCAGAGACTTTAGTGAGGATCTTGTAAATGATTTTAAGTAGTGAGACGTGTCTCCAGTTTGTAATTTCACTTGTTCTTCCTTATTATTGGTTTTAGGAATGAGGGTAATTATTCCATGATTAAAGTAAGTTTGTTGGTTTTCAGAGCATTGTTGTATATTGTTGTCCTATCAGAGAGAAAAATTGTTTATAAAATTCTATAGGTAGCCCATCTGGGTCCTGGTGATTTCTTATTTGGCATGCTCTTCAGTGCTGCTATGCATTCTGGATATGTGATGTTTCTGTTTAACTCAGTAACCTGTATGTCAATTAGTTTTGGCATTAGGGATTGAAATACCTGTGAATTAGAGGAAGGGTGAGTAATCCTACAGTTTTAGTGCAAACCCTGCAGGATGTATGCGATTTAAAAGTTAAAGATCCAGATAATTTATGTTATGTTACACAAACCACATTAAGCATTGATGAGACGCTTTTCTTTGTCAAAGTTTTATCTTTCAAATGTTTTTGAATAATATAGGCAAACAAATTTTTATTTTTTCCTCGTCTGATATAATTTCATTATTCTCATTTATTATTGCATTGATCATTTTAGAGTGAATGTGCTTCTGTTCCATTTGGTAAAATTCCTGGATGGATGAGCTTCCTGCTCACATAGTTCCTTACAAGATCAGATAAACACTCCATATAGGCATCTCTCATGTTAAATTTTGGCTTTTGCATTTGCTATGACTGTCTGATGTTTATCTGGATCTACAGTTTTATCATTATATACTTGTTTTAACTCATATCCTGTCATTGTAATGTTTACAAAGTTGTTTTTTCCTTTTCTATACTTATATTAATTGCAATGCTTTTAACTTTTCATAGATTACCACCAAGCGCAGTCCTTTTCTTCTTTGACGTTAAAAATTGCTTATTTGAGCCTGTGGAGTTTTACGGGGCTCTTAAAATCCAAAAAAAAATTAATGCCCATTGTAAAATTGTAAATATCTTAGTTAGAAAAAAATGGAGAGATAGAAAATAGATCAGAGGTCATCGGTTGTAGTAACAAGTCAGTGGGAAAGTTGACACACAGGTGTCAAGAATGCACCGTCATCATCAACAAAAGTCGATCACATGTTAGATTTCCCACGACAATGGTATAAAAGGTGCAAGCCACTGGACGCTCAGGAGTTCACACATGGAAGTTATACTTGGTCATAGTGATTCCTTGTCTCCTGTAACGGTAGAAAACATCGACAACACCCAACGCTTCCATAAAGAACTTTTATCACAGCATATAGAACTCCTCCAACTTTAGAGGTAATTTTTCAGCTAACTGCGAACTCTCTCTCGTAACGGAAGTAGGCATAGCCTTCACAGAATAGACAAGCAAGTGTCAAAATCATAGATTTTGGTATATTATGTTAATTGCATTTAACCCTATATAACCTAGAGATACACATTTAACCCTGTGTAGCCTCCTGTATTTTAGTGTTAGCTGTATAATAAATGCTTTGTTATTTTGTTAAACCTGTTTCCTGTATCTGAAAGGATGCCTGCCGACTTCCTCACCTCCCTCGCCACTCGATAAAAAGCCATCCGGAACAACAACGTGAGCGGTCCTTCCAGACTGCTGCTGAATAAGTGGTCAAGAGGGATTAACCCTTTGCCCACGGTTTCTCACACTTAGGGTTGTGTCGGCAACATCTTTCAGTAAGCTAGCTTTTATTTTCCAGAATGTAGTTAAGTTGTTTGCATTTGCTTCTCTGTTTAGCAAGGACAAGTATTAGAATAACATCACTATGGTTTGTTAAATGATCAGAATGATTTCTCATTGTGATGCAACATGTTGGAGATGACTGGAAACGTAGAATCTATCCAACCTGGAATAGGAATTATTTTGGTGATAGGTAACTTCACGTTTATGGGAGTTCATTTTACACCTGATGTCTAAGGTAAAACTGGTCTTTCAGGTTCTGGAAAATTTAACTTTTCCTTTTGTTTCTGGTTTTCCTAGTCTATCTATAGCTTTCTCAACAAAGCTGAAGTCACTACCTCAAAGAATATCATGAGTTGACCCTAAATAAAAATCAAGGTTGTTGATAAAATTGTATCTTGCCTTAGGGCAGTAGACAGAAATAATTCTCTGTATCCCAAGTGAAACTTCCTATCTAGTGATGTAACGAATATTCAGTTACTATTCGTTATTCGGCCTATTTTTCACTATTAGTTGGGTTAGTGTTGTTTGTTTATATTTATTTATAACTTGTAACATGCACAAAATAAAAATGAAAATAATATTAGTCACATGTATTCACAATTTATAATTACAAAGATCAGCACACGTACATGTCTATTCATTCGAGAATCA